AGTTAAAAACAAAAACGGTCTAGTTTTCATCAATCTATGCATATTTACTGTAACTACCACTTCCAGACCAGTCTGGTCTACAGAGTGAGTTCCAAGACAGCCAAAGATACACAGAGAAACCCTGTACCCCCCAAAAGAAAAACAGACAGGAAAAAACACTCCCTTTAAAGAAATAAGTACTAGCCACTTACCTCTTCTTTTAAAACTAAGATGGACAAGCTATTTTTTTGTTGTTCCTTAATGAAGGATCTTTTGTTTTAAATACATCCATAGTAGAATAGATGACAGGATAGTAAAAGGAAAAAGAAAGATTTGAAATGAAAACTATTCCAAATCAGTGATTTTTTAGTTCATTTTCATTCTTGAGTGATACTGTCTGTGGCAGTCTTACTTGACACTGAAGAACTAACTGGTAGGCAGCCTCATCTAGAGTGCAGTATATTACCCAGTAAGGTTGTTTGCCTTATGCTCCCAAGCAGACACTTCACACACCTGGATGCAGGATAGACCTTTACACAAGGCCCCAGTCTATCAACTACAGAAACAGTCATTAGCATTTCCACAGCTCAGATAAAGCGTTTTCACACTCTGCCTAATCTCCCTCCAACACAGCTAGGTCTCAGGCTTTTATTAAATGTGAGGAATTCAACAGTTTAGAAATTCAAAACAGGCCACATATAGAAAACTACCTTTACACTCTTCCTATGTCTCATTCTCTTTTCTTCTTGTATCATGGTGATGCTAAATTGTCATGTCTTTTTTTTGGAATGTTCCTCCAAAAAATATCAGAAAGTTGGGCCTTTCCGAAAGGGAAGAACTGTAAATAGCTAGTTAATAAATAAAGTGGAGTAGTGTGAGGGAAAAAAATAATAAAAATCTGGACAAGCACACTTACACTCAAGTCTAGAAAGAAATATTCAGCAAGGCAAGGCATCTGTAACCCCTGCTGCAAGTTCAAAGACACCCTGGGCTACAATGAGCTCCTATCTTAAAACAAGAGCACACAGATTAATTGTAGGAAAGGACTTTGGTTTCAATCCCACTGTGTTAGCTACTCACTTAGGCAATTTTGGACAAATTAGCTAGTCCCACGACTTTTAAGGTTTAAGACTACCAGAGAGAATATTTAGCTCAGAATTAGCAGGCATTATTATTATTCCTAGGTAGTTACAGTTCCAAAGGCAGGAATCCCTAGCTAGACAGGATTGCATGGTCAACAGTGCCTGTCCGCAAAGAATGGTGCAGAGGTCAGCTAGCTGGCTGTTCTAATAATTTAAGTGAAAATCAGTGTGGCTTGTACTAAGGAAGTAAAGAAAAGAAGTGGACAGATCCTACAGATAACTGATTTTTACAGTTAAAACTGTGACTACCTGTGATAAGAGAAATTATCAGAATGACACACATATTCTGTCAAGCATAGGTTGATACATTTGGTGAGCTGGATGACTATGAGTCTCAAGTGCCCCCCCACCCCAAACACACACATGTACGTACATCTGTCTGGGATTAAGATTCTAGTCTTGGAACCATTAACAGTAAGGATATGTGGCTGGAATGAGAAAAGAATCCTATGAAGCTCCATTACTTACTTGATAGTTACAAGGAGACAAATGGTGCAAAGGACACAGGAGCACAGTGTGATTAAACTCATGGGAAGTTTTTCAAAGCTATCAAGAGTACTAAATGTTACTGAGGAAATCAGTACAGGACAAAAATCCTGGAGGAGAAGAGATCCAGGTGCCTGCACAGGGCAAGCAGAAGGGAAATGTACAGAGAAGAGCAGATGGATCTTCTCTCATCTACTAAAATACCACTAACCACAAAACTGCTTCAAGTGAACTCTAATCACATCCACACCAAGAAAACCAAATTCATCCAACAGATTCAGATATCAGCTCATAAATGAGCACTTCCTATGTTACCAACAGAAGTTAACCTCCTAAAACACCAAAGGCCACACAGGAAAGACATTTCAGAACTCTAAAATCTGTTATTATACAGAACAAAGAAACCTCATAAATAACAAGCTTCTAGGTTGCCTCAAGTTTTATCAACATACTGCTCATTAAAACTTTTCCTTATATGATTTAGGGGGAAAAAATCATCACATCCCCTGAACTGCCCAACAGGAGGAACTTATACTGCATTTTTAATAGCTTTTTGCATCTTTCCCCAACACCTAGATAAATTTACAAATTCTCTTCTCCCTGTAGTCACTCACACACATTTACTCTTCCCCTGAAGCCACTGAACTAAGAAGGCAGTCCCTACTTGTCAACCAGAGTCCAACAGAGCAGAGATGCAGGAGAGAAAGTGTTCATGATAATAATTTCTTAAAGTTTCAGTGTTCCTCAGAGCACATGAACAGGTATATCCTTACCTTAGCAACTATTAAAATGTAATCAACAGGCATCGCTTAAGTGGCTACTACTAAAATGATTATGTATATAATTACCTTCATCTCTACTTTATGCAGTAAGGTTGAACTGTAAGAAAATCAAACATTTTCTATAACTCAGAATAAGGGAAATATTTATGACAGAAATATAAAAAAATTTAAATGTTTCCTTCTTTTCCAAACATGAAGAAATAAAAACACTTGGGAAAGAAAATCATTCATCAACCATAACAAAAAGTTGGTAAAGACACCCCACCCTGCACCCCCAAACCTCTACCTTCCTGGAAACAAACATCAAAACAAGCATAGCACTAGCAGCTGTGGAAATAATGATACTAAGTCACCAGTAAATTATATGAAAAATTTACAGAAAATAAATTGATTTACAATACAAAATGAGATGGACTGAATCAAGATTATATGTGCTCAACTACTATAGTCCATGCTTATCATTAGGCCTATTAAATAAGTAATTTTGAATTTTGCATGAAAAAAACTTTGGAATTTATTCGGCAACATCAGTCCACCAGCTCCCAACTCGGTTACAGCCTATCACACCTAGAGACCAGCCACTGATAGCATGGATCAGCCCTCTTTGAAAACAAAGCCTGTCCCTAAGCACAGACATGTCTGGAAACACTGTGCAGGTACAGTTATCTTTTTTTACCTTTAACTGAAAACCTGTAAACACTGAAAAAGTGTTGATACTTAAAAACTTACAACTACACAGATTTTGCCTTTTAAGTATATATATTTTATAGTCTCCAAGTAGAAAAACACAGTTGACAAAGGGTATTTACTTATTACATGTTCAGAAACAGGTAACAATTGCTCTCATTGGGACTCTAAAAATGTTCCTGATGTATTTTCTTAGAAAAAGAGAAGACTGGGTATGGTATAAGCTTACAGGAGCAGCACATACTCAGGAGAGCTGGCACCAACAAAGCCAGTGTAAAATATTAAGCCCTGAACATGCTGAGAGCAATCTACATAATAAATAAATAAAACAGCCAGCAGAGATACACAATTGCTTACTAAAGTAGGTAAAACATTCCCAATTTCCTTCAGCTAATTTTAATATCCAGAAAATAGATTTAGATCTATCTATATCTTGGAAAATGGAGTTTAAAATAGGCTATTTGTTTAGACAAAAACCAACAAGCAACTCAGAGCTGTAAAGGCACAATGCAACAGAAAATTAAGGGCTTACTCCCAGGGAACTCTGAAGCTGTCCTGTGGGTGGCAACAGAAAAGGGCAAAATCTTTCTGGAAAGCAATTTGGCCAGTGAATGTTGACATCCTTTTATCTAACTAGGTAAGCATATTCCACAGGAGACTTTTTTCCTGAATAAATCAGTATTTTGCAAAAAGTATTGTGGTAAACACAAATATATAGTCATTGCAGTACCATTTAAAATAATGAAAAATTAGGAACAATCTAAAGGAAAATATAAGAAAAACCAGATTAGCTTCAGAGGACTACACAACTACCAGAACTAAAACAGTGTTAACATGAGATTTTCAGTACACAATTACTGAAAAATGCAGAAATACAAGCTACAGAGGTAGAGGGAAAAATGAGGCCATGTAATTGTACTGTGAGCACACATGTGACTTCCTGATTGTAGTACAGTATTGTTTAAGCAATAGCCACAGGAGAAAAACATTGATTTTTAAATGCTTCGAGTGATCTGGAATAAGCTGACAGCACACACACACACACACACACACACACACACACACACACACACACACACACACACACTCTCTCTCTCTCTCTGGCTGGAGGACTGGGCTGGCACCTGTGCTGATATTAAAAGGAACTTTTTATCCCTTGATTCCAGAGAGCAAGGGGAACAAGAGAAAAAAAAATACTAAGTCATACTTCTACTTACTTAGGTAATAAATGTTAAGAGAACCATAGCTACTTTTATTAAGTTTGGTAGCCCACCTATAGCTGTTAGAAATATAAACCCATTTTTTACTGTTTTTAAAGGGATGTTAATCACTATCTTCACTTTTCAAAAGATGAATTCTAAAGAAAGCAGTTTTATTTTGTTATATGTAATTTCAATGACCTTTGTACAGACAAAGCTAAAACTACGAGATACTAAATGTCAGCATAGTCCTAAATTTAAAATATACTAGAGTTAAAGGGGGAGTGGTTTACTACGAGGAAAAAAAATCAGTTGGCATTTCTATTTTTTAAAAAGAACAAATTTCTCATTCTTTTAGCAAGTTAACAGTTTAGATTCAAGAAAAAAATGACATCAAGCAGACCTCCTTAAGATGTCATATATAAAAACTGACAAATGACTGCTTCAACATCGATTTTAAGAGAAAAGCCTGTTAGTGAAGATGATCTGATTCAAAGCTTTTTAATGGCACTCACATTGTAAACTAAAAATTATAAAGTCAAGTTTGATTCTTTAAGCACCTATTTCCTGTTCAAACAGCCCTTTTGTTCTGCTTCCCTGCTTAATTTTAATGTTCAGTTTGCATCAGAAAATAGAAACAATGACAAAGCCTAGTATATACAAAAGCATAAAGGAGCAAAAGTATAAAACATAAGATCATTAAAAGATTAGAACAAAAATCCTACCAACAAAACCTCCACAATTTTCTGTTTGCTTCACCTCAGATTAACTTCACTTGAAGCTGTACTCCAAAGCAACCAAACCTGAATACCAAGCTCCACCTCCCGCAATTCTAGTGGCCGAAGAGTCAAATCTCCTCCCTGTTAGTCAGGCTGATAACTGTGATTGGATGCGACTAATATCCATTATTTTAAAGAACTTTTCCTCGCTAGCAGGTTAGGTTAAACACACTAAACCCCTGGATAAGCTGGTTTCTTAAAGAAACAGGCTGTAATGTTTCAGTTTTCCCATCATAAGCGATTTGCTTTCTTTTGTCTGGCTTAAAGTACAATGAAAATTCACAGAAGCATCGGTCATTTACTCAGTGATAAGGTATGTAAGATACATGCTTTTAACATAAACAACGGGGCATTTTTACAAGCCACGAATGTGAAGTTATGCTTTAAACAGATTTTCTCTTTTAACAGAGTTCACATTTTATCTGAAAATTTCAAACAACTACACAAAATCCACAATAAAATCTGCTAGGAACAAAACAGTGTTCTCTAAGATTTAGTGAGAGGACCTTTAAGAAAAACAAACAAAAAAACAAAACCCCCAGCATTCAAACCCTAAATGCTAGAGATTCATTTCTAAGCTATATCCTAAATGCTAAGAGTCACTTCTAAGCTATCTATAAAGCTCACTGACATAGTCCTGGTATCACAACACACTAAAATCCTCAGTGAACCAAAGGTTGCTATTTCCAGTTAAAACTGCTTATTCACTGCAAAAGGAGATCTAAAGACACAAGGCAATTTGTTTAGTGGCACATTCAGGAACAAAGTTAATTTGTTTATTTTCACAGTGCAGAGGGATCTAACTCAGAGCCTCAACCACCCTGCCATGAGTCCCAGGTAGAAAGTTCAGGGAGGTTTACTGTCATTTTTGCCATGTTGTTTTATTTACTTTTTGTTTGTCTAAAACAATTTTGTTTGTCTAAAACAAGAGTCATTATTCTCTATAGCTGAGCCTGGCCTAGAATACACTATGTATTCTTATAGGCAGGAGGCTGCCTTAGACTCCCAAGTGCTGGGAATGAGGGAAATTATTAACAAATGGAGATTTAAAAAAGTGTATTTCCTTTAAGCTATCTAAGAAACTGTGCCTAATGGTATTTTTACTAGACTATGAAGACACCACAAAGGACTTTGACTTTTAAAGAAAAGGCCCACTTACACCTGGCTACATTTGCTGTATTTTATGTTTTGATTAGAACTGCTTACATTTTAGTAGCTTACCTGAAACTTTATTTTGACATCTTAGCATTACCTGATTGACTGGTATTTAAGATGTTTAGTAATACATACTTTTCACTTCTACCAATACTTTAAGCTGATAACAAAGGCAAATTAGGATAAGTTCTTATGTTTTTGTTTGTTTCTTTTATGAGACAAAGTGAAGCTGGTCTTGAACTCCTCCTACTTCTGCCTCCTAAGTTCTAAGACTTCAAACAAGTGGCATCATGCCTGCCATTTACAGTGGGTTCTTAAAATGTTTCCAATACACTTATGGATTAAAGAATTTTAAATTTAAATTTAGTTTTCAAAGTTCAAAATCTTGCAATAATTTCTTTCTCAAAGAAAAACTGTATTGTAGAACAAAAAGCCAACAAAATTGTGTTGAGTACAAAGTCTTTTTAACAAACTGAAAATCCACATAATTGCAACTAGACATGAATATGGAGCAATACCCTGTTGAAGCCCAAACAGCTGCATATTCTATTATGCCCTTTAAGTGGACAAACTGAAAGAGCCAATTCACAGAGGTCTGGTCCCAAGATCCTTTGCAACAACGCATTGCTTTGAATGCCCAGCACTTCTTGAGTCAAGTTCAGGTTTTCTTGCTCGTGTGTGATACCAGTGCAAAACAACATTGGAAGAGAAGTACCACAGCAATCAGCAAAAAGAATACATCTAATCTACAGTGCAGAGTTGAGGAAGACAAGATTGTAGATGACCAAAATGTTTACAAGTAAGTTAGAGAAAAAGAAAGCTAAAAACTGGCAAGCAGGATCAGATTAGTAAATGGCTCAGCAGGTAAAGGCACCTGCCCTAAGTGTGACCCACCAGAGCTCAACCCCATTCGGTTCCTGGGACCTGTGTGGTGGAAGGAAAGAACTGATTCATGCAAGGTGTCCTTTGCCTCCAGGGGTGCTCAAAGTGAGACATGCACTCACATGCACAAAAAAGAAATAAAAAATTAATTTAATTAAAAATGACAATAATGGAATTAGTAGGCAGTTGTGAGCACAGAAGAAACTGCTGCTCTAGGGGCAACGTTCACTTCAAAGTGAATTATTTGTAAGGAATAGACACTCATCATGTCAGCATATTACTAACACCAGTCTACTACCAAGACAAAAGAGCCAAGATGTGAGTCAACTGTGTTGGTACATGCCTGTAATCCTAACACAGGGAGGCTGAGAGGCAAGAGGATGACACTTGTGTAAGGCTGGTCTTGACTATATAGCAAGAGGACAGCTTTGACTACACCTTTTGAGATCCTACCTCAAAAAACAAAAAACAAAAAAGGGAGCTGGGGACTTAGTGGCCAAGAAGTGAAAGAACTTCCAGGTGATGATGATCATTGTAGGTGGCACACATTAAAATTAAGGTATTTTATTCTATTTGTAATAGAAGAAGAGAACAACAAAATCAAGTGCAAAGGAGCAGTATCAAATCCAGAAATTACATGACAACAATATCGTGTGGTAAGAACAAGGGGCCTGCATGAAGCTCTAAGAAGCTCTCTGTGTGATACTACCACTTTCTAAACATCAAGTACTCAGAGAATATACTGCATTTTTTTTAATTGGAGCTTAGAGGTTTCCCCAAACCTTACCAGCTCAAAAACAATTCATAAAACAATAAGCCACCACTGAACAACTTGGTCAGCCCAGATTATGATTTAAAAAAAATCCTATATGGGGACAGGGTGGTGGGCAGGGTAACCCAATTAGAGAATGCTTATCCAATGCACAAGGCCCTGGGATTGATCCCAGAACCACATAGGTTTGACCTTCAGTACTATACACAAGGCATGCCAAAAAATCCTAGCACTCAGAAGATGCAAGCAGGAAGATCAGAAATTCAAGGTCATCCTTGGCTATTACTATATAGTGTTAGGCCTGCCCACACTACAGGAGACACTGTCACAAACAAAAAACCTAAAGAATAGCATCCATTGTTGTTCTTACAAAAGCAATTCATCCTAGCACTTTCCCAGAACAGAACTGGTGATGTGCAAAGTCACCAATGAAAAGACCACCCTGACTTCAGCACAACATGCTGGGATCTGTGAGAATAGAGTCTGAAATCAACTATCTATGGAATAAGGAAAACAATTTTCAAAACATATTTCCCTGGCAGACACACATTACCTCCAGTGGTGAGGGATGTGCTTTAGTTTGCAACCCCTGGTGTGGTTTATCTTCTTACTGAGGGTGGTGGAGAGCACAAATGCTCAGAGGTTGGCCATGGCCCATTCAACCACACACTGCACACAAAGGAGACATTAAGAAAATTAAGGCAAACTACAGATAGGAAAAGAACAAACCAAGCTGATAGGAATGAACTCTTTATACAATAGTCAGTAATCTGCTGTTTTAGGTGTGTAAAGAGATTAAACCAGGTCACCAATAAGCACTAATTAAATGGGGATCAAAACAAAAAATGTAAGGAGAAGAAAAGCATTCATAATCCTCATGTATTAAGATGTGTTGTTCTAGGCTACAGGCAAATAATATTGCTTAAAAAGAGGAGTGTGAACAAAACAAATATTCTGTGGGTCTAGATCAACCTGCTAGATGGAAAAAAGAATACCACAGACTGGTAGGTTTTTGTTTTCTCCCTAGATGAATGCCAAAACCAGAAAAAATAAAAGATTAAAAGATAAAGGCTAGTTATTAGATAGCTATCGAAAGAAGACTATCTTGGGTTTTTTGTTTCTGATTTTTTTGAGGCAGGGTTTCACTGTGTTAACAGTCCTGGCTGTTCTAGAACTAGATTTGTAGACCAGGCCTGGCCCTGAATTCAAAGATTATCCTGCCTCTGCCTCCCAAGTGCTGGGATTAAAGGAATGTGACACCACACCTGGCTGTTTTGTTTTTAAAAATAACTTCTGCAAACAAAGCAATCTTACAATTTCTTAAAGCAGAAATTGCACAGATAAATCTCCTGTCACATGTCCTGCTCCTGGAGAGCACCCATAACTGGATGGCTCACAACTGCCAGTAACTACAGCTCCGGGGTATCAGATCTGACAACCCCTCTTCAGGACTCAATGGGCACCTGCATTCACACACTTACAACCACCCTGCCACCCCCTCTTCCCCCATATACATACAGAATCAGACAATAAAATAAATCTTCAAAAGAGTCTCCTGTCATTTACGTTGATGGAGTTGACTTACTGCCTCACTACAGTAACTTCTGAACACCACCTGGACACCACCTTCAACTGTGTCAAGAGTGAGATCATGTCCAAATAAAAACACTGGGTGGTGGTGGTACATGCCTTTAATCCCAGGACTGGGAAGAAGAGGCAGGCGGTACAGAGATTCGTCTCCAGGACAGGCTCCAAAGCCACACAGAGGAAAACAAACATCAAAAAACAACTAGAGCATGAACTTCCAATTTTCTATGAGTCAGAGTAGAACATTAAAGTATTAAAATTGTAACTATGTAACATATACAAATATATATTTAAAGGTCTTTCTAAGTAGTCCTGGCTGTCCTGGAACTTACTGTGTAGATAAGGCTGGCCCAGTCTGCCACTGCCTTGAATGCTGGGATTAAAGTCACCTTTACACCTGGCTACATATTATTTTTAAACTTTCATTCTTGTTTTAAAACAAATGTCAAGTTTGTATTTAAATTCTCACTTGTTAGTCGTGGCTATTTTAATTTCAATAGCTAGGCATGGCTGTTTTTATTAAAGTAATACAGACATTTGCCACATTATTACAAATCAAGATTAATTTTTATTATTACAAAGGATTTCCTATCTCTCTGTCTAATACAAATTAGTAACCACACATGGC